AGTTTCGAAATATGCTCACGTGACCTCAAAAATAATTAAAATAAATTCAGAAAAATGAAACGTGAAAAAACGTGTCGACCTAATTTCGAAATATGCTCACGTGACCTCAAAAATAATGAAAATAAATTCAGAAAAATATAACGTGAAAAAACGTGTCGACCTAGTTTCGAAATATCCGTGACCTCAAAAATAATGAAAATAAATTCAGAAAAATGAAACGTGAAAAAACGTGTCGACCTAGTTTCGAAATATCCTCACGTGACCTCAAAAATAATTAAAATAAATTCAGAAAAATGAAACGTGAAAAAACGTGTCGACTAGTTTCGAAATATGCTCACGTGACCTCAAAAATAATTAAAATAAATTCAGAAAAATGAAACGTGAAAAAACGTGTCGACCTAATTTCGAAATATGCTCACGTGACCTCAAAAATAATGAAAATAAATTCAGAAAAATGAAACGTGAAAAAACGTGTCGACCTAGTTTCGAAATATCCGTGACCTCAAAAATAATGAAAATAAATTCAGAAAAATGAAACGTGAAAAAAAGTGTCGACCTAGTTTCGAAATATCCTCACGTGACCTCAAAAATAATGAAAATAAATTCAGAAAAATGAAACGTGAAAAAACGTGTCGACCTAATTTCGAAATATGCTCACGTGACCTCAAAAATAATGAAAATAAATTCAGAAAAATGAAACGTGAAAAAACGTGTCGACCTAGTTTCGAAATATCCGTGACCTCAAAAATAATGAAAATAAATTCAGAAAAATGAAACGTGAAAAAAAGTGTCGACCTAGTTTCGAAATATCCTCACGTGACCTCAAAAATAATGAAAATAAATTCAGAAAAATGAAACGTGAAAAAACGTGTCGACCTAGTTTCGAAATATCCGTGACCTCAAAAATAATGAAAATAAATTCAGAAAAATGAAACGTGAAAAAACGTGTCGACCTAGTTTCGAAATATCCTCACGTGACCTCAAAAATAATTAAAATAAATTCAGAAAAATGAAACGTGAAAAAACGTGTCGACTAGTTTCGAAATATGCTCACGTGACCTCAAAAATAATTAAAATAAATTCAGAAAAATGAAACGTGAAAAAACGTGTCGACCTAATTTCGAAATATGCTCACGTGACCTCAAAAATAATGAAAATAAATTCAGAAAAATATAACGTGAAAAAACGTGTCGACCTAGTTTCGAAATATCCGTGACCTCAAAAATAATGAAAATAAATTCAGAAAAATGAAACGTGAAAAAAAGTGTCGACCTAATTTCGAAATATCCTCACGTGACCTCAAAAATAATTAAAATAAATTCAGAAAAATGAAACGTGAAAAAACGTGTCGACCTAGTTTCGAAATATCCGTGACCTCAAAAATAATGAAAATAAATTCAGAAAAATGAAACGTGAAAAAAAGTGTCGACCTAATTTCGAAATATCCTCACGTGACCTCAAAAATAATTAAAATAAATTCAGAAAAATGAAACGTGAAAAAACGTGTCGACCTAGTTTCGAAATATCCGTGACCTCAAAAATAATTAAAATAAATTCAGAAAAATGAAACGTGAAAAAACGTGTCGACCTAATTTCGAAATATCCTCACGTGACCTCAAAAATAATTAAAATAAATTCAGAAAAATGAAACGTGAAAAAACGTGTCGACCTAGTTTCGAAATATCCGTGACCTCAAAAATAATGAAAATAAATTCAGAAAAATGAAACGTGAAAAAACGTGTCGACCTAGTTTCGAAATATCCTCACGTGACCTCAAAAATAATTAAAATAAATTCAGAAAAATGAAACGTGAAAAAACGTGTCGACCTAATTTCAAAAAATGCTCACGTGACCTCAAAAATAATTAAAATAAATTCAGAAAAATGAAACGTGAAAAAACGTGTCGACCTAATTTCGAAATATGCTCACGTGACCTCAAAAATAATCAAAATAAATTCAGAAAAATGAAACGTGAAAAAACGTGTCGACCTAATTTCGAAATATGCTCACGTGACCTCAAAAATAATTAAAATAAATTCAGAAAAATGAAACGTGAAAAAACGTGTCGACCTAATTTCAAAATATGCTCACGTGACCTCAAAAATAATTAAAATAAATTCAGAAAAATGAAACGTGAAAAAACGTGTCGACCTAATTTCAAAATATGCTCACGTGACCTCAAAAATAATTAAAATAAATTCAGAAAAATGAAACGTGAAAAAACGTGTCGACCTAATTTCGAAATATGCTCACGTGACCTCAAAAATAATGAAAATAAATTCAGAAAAATATAACGTGAAAAAACGTGTCGACCTAGTTTCGAAATATCCGTGACCTCAAAAATAATGAAAATAAATTCAGAAAAATGAAACGTGAAAAAACGTGTCGACCTAGTTTCGAAATATCCTCACGTGACCTCAAAAATAATTAAAATAAATTCAGAAAAATGAAACGTGAAAAAACGTGTCGACCTAATTTCAAAAAATGCTCACGTGACCTCAAAAATAATTAAAATAAATTCAGAAAAATGAAACGTGAAAAAACGTGTCGACCTAATTTCGAAATATGCTCACGTGACCTCAAAAATAATTAAAATAAATTCAGAAAAATGAAACGTGAAAAAACGTGTCGACCTAATTTCAAAATATGCTCACGTGACCTCAAAAATAATTAAAATAAATTCAGAAAAATGAAACGTGAAAAAACGTGTCGAACTAGTTTCGAAATATGCTCACGTGACTTTTGTATTAAATGTACTCGTGAGATGTTGAACACACGACTTACAATTGAATTCATTCAAAATTTCAAGTTTTTTGATCAAAAAATAACTCGTGGCAAAATCAGGAAGGCTTCCTAATTTTGCCATGGATGAAGTCAACGATCAATTTTTCAAAAAAAAAATTGGCCCGAGATTTTTCAAAAAAAAAATCGGCCCGAGATTTTTCAAAGTTTTTGACACAAGTCAACAAAAAAAGTTACAGATTTGGAATAATCCAAAAATGTAAAAATGAAGTCGATGAGTTGTTTTTTTTAACAGTGTTAAAAAAGTTTTTTGATCAAAAAATAACTCGTGGCAAAATCAGGAAGGCTTCCTAATTTTGCCATGGATGAAGTCAACGATCAATTTTTCGAAAAAAAACTTATTTACTTATTTTTTGTATTAAATGAACTCGATAGGGGCTGTCAGCCCCCAGGCGGGACAATAATTGATCAAAAAATAGAATTTTTTCTCGACAGTACAATGCTCACTGAACTTTTTTTTGACAATGAATTTTTTTTTCTGAAAAATGTGTGTAAGGAGAGAAACAATTGAATTCTAGATGTAAAAGTTATGAAAAAACTTACAATAAGTGAAAAACTTAGCTGTCATCTTACCTAAATGAATTTTAAAAATTACAAGACTTCCGAAATCACGAAAACTGGTGGAACTCAAAAAACTTTTTCAAATCTCAAAAAATTTTTGTTTGGTTTCCCCTCTTTTCGTGAATACAAGAACGATTTTTGTAATACAGTAATCCTTTTGCCACTGTAATACAGTAACAAAATAGATTAGTGTAATACAAAACCAAGAAAAAACATTTGTGTTCATTTCAAGCGCTTTATTCTAACATGAAACTACAATATTGTTTGAAATTGCAAACAATGTTATGAGATGCTATTTTATACAGTTGTTGTATCTTCTGATGCGGCTGTAGTTGCAGATGCAGCAGTAGTGGCGGTAGCAGTACAAAGATTACAAGATTTTTGGCAATATTGAATTCTGACAGCATCAGTGTAGAAAGAATTGGTACAGAATCCATTATTTTTCCATGAAGCACAAGCTGATGCAGAATCGGTGCAAGTTGACGATGAACCTGAAGATGAGGAAGCGGTTGTTGCTGCTGCTGATCCTGGACAATATCCACAAGATGTTCCACAATATGCTTTCTTTTGATCATATGTGTAATATGCATTCTTACAGAAACCATTTTTCACCCATGATGAACATCTGAAAATTTTATGTTATCTCTCATTTTCAAAAGTTTCTGTTAGACTCACTTGGATGAAGAATCTCCACAAGCATTAGAAAATACAAAAAGGGAGACAACAAGAAGAATGATTGTAGATGAAGCTGACATGATTGATGAATTTCCATTGCGACGATCTCCTTTATAAAGAAGTTCTGATTTGTTTGAACACCTGTTCAGTAATCAAAATGAACTTCCAAATATGTAGACCAAAAAGTTTCGAAGTTTGGTCTTGTTTGTGCAAAGCAAAAAAACAATGTCGATCTGACACATTTTTGATCCTAAATAATTGTTTGAACTATTTTTGAATTATGCAAATAGCTTGTTGTTGGGAAGCATAGAACTCCTACGTAACAAATACATAATTCTTTCATAATTCTTAATGATCTGTTCCAGTCTGAAAATTGATTGTATTTACTTTTTTTGTGAATTCTAACAATTCTGACATCCACAACGTTTCGAATTGTCTCGTCAAAAGTACTAGTCTAGTGTGTATTGTCATTCCGAAAAAATAAGAACTTGGAAGAGAACCGAAATGGCCTAGGAAACCAAGACTACAGTAGACTTCGCCAAATTTTGGGGTCTATTTGAAAAATAAAATGCGAAATTTACACGCTGGCTATTTGCCAACCAGTTTGATGTGCATGTGTCACGTCATTTTTAGTCTACTGTACGTGAGCGCCAATTCAAACGGGGGTTCTTTTATTTTCGGAATGACAATATTTTTAGTAATTCATATGCTTACAAAAATATAATTTATCTGACAGTATTACAAACTATGAATTATTGGATTAGTGTATTTGAAATGAGGATGAGGCGTAGGAGTTATTATTTACAAAAACCATTTGATTCACGATCAACACTTTGCACAGATTAGATCAAACTTTGAAACTTTTTGGTCTATTTGGAAGTTCATTTTGATTACTGAACAGGTGTTCAAACAAATTAGAACTTCTTTATAAAGGAGATCGTCGCAATGGAAATTCATCAACCATGTCAGCTTCATCTACAACAATCATTCTTCTTGTTGTCTCCCTTTTTGTATTTTCTAATGCTTGTGGAGATTCTTCATCCAAGTGAGTCTAACAGAAACTTTTGAAAATGAGAGATAACATAAAATTTTCAGATGTTCATCATGGGTGAAAAATGGTTTCTGTAAGAATGCATATTACACATATGATCAAAAGAAAGCATATTGTGGAACATCTTGTGGATATTGTCCAGGATCAGCAGCAGCAACAACCGCTTCCTCATCTTCAGGTTCATCGTCAACTTGCACCGATTCAGCATCAGCTTGTGCTTCATGGAAAAATAATGGATTCTGTACCAATTCTTTCTACACTGATGCTGTCAGAATTCAATATTGTCAGAAATCATGTAATCTTTGTACTGCTACCGCCACTACTGCTGCATCTGCAACTACTGCGGCATCAGAAGATACAACAACTGTATAAAGAAACATCTCATAACATTGTTTTTAATTTCAAACAATATTGTAGTTTCATGATAAAATAAAGCGCTTGAAAGAAACACAATGTTTTTGTTAGATTTCCCAGTTTTTTCCGTGAATGTAAAAAGTGCTACAATAACCTTTTTGCACTTATGATACAGTAAAAAGAGATGACTGTGATACAAAACCTTTCAAATATTTATCAAAACTTTCTTTAAAAAAAAACACACCAATGATTTATTTTTGTTTGAAAAAAAACAAACTAACAAATTTAGAAAAAAAAAACAGTTTGAATTCTGTTTTATTTTTCAAAAAATAGACATTTCACATAAAATCACATACAAAAAAAAACTCGTGTAATTGAACCGATTACTCAACAAAAAACAGAACAAAAATAACAAGCCCCGCCCATTTCGCATGCAAAAAGTAGAGACGCGCATTGCCTGTTAGTTGTCGGCGCACAAAAAAGAATAAGAGGGGGAGACGGTTGATTTCAATTGTTCGGTATTCTCCTACATGGACAAAAAAATAAAGAGAAACGAAGTGAATACAAGAGGAGTTTTGTATTACACTAATCTATTTTGTTACCGTATCACGGTGGCAAAAGGATTACTGTATTACAAAAATCTTTCTTGTATTCACGAAAAGAGGGGAAACCTAACAAATTTTTTTTGAGATTTGAAAAAGTTTTTGAGTTTGACGAACTTTTGTGGTTACGGAAGTCTTTGAGACATGTAAATTTTTGATTTTCAATTTCATTTAGGTAGATGATATCTCATTTTTTCACTTATTGGAAGTTGTTTTTTCAATTATTTCACATCTAGAATTCAATTGTTTCTCTCCTTTCAAATGCTTTATTATGAAATGAAACTACAGTATTGCTTTGAATCAAAATGAGGTAATCAGGTTATTTTAATTATCCAGTTGTTGTGTCTTCGGATGCTGCGGTAGTTGCGGATGCAGCAGTTGTAGCACTTGCTGTGCAGAGGTTACAAGATTTTTGACAATATTGAATTCTGACAGCATCAGTGTAGAAAGAATTGGTACAGAATCCATTATTTTTCCACGAAGCACATGCTGATTGCGAATCTGTGCAAGATGACGATGAACCTGAAGATGAAGATGTTGTTACTGCAGATCCACCACAAAATCCACAAGACGCTCCACAATATGATTTTCTTTGATCATACGAATAAAATGCATTTGTGCAAAAGCCGTTCTTCACCCATGAAGAGCATCTGAATTTCGATAATTTATCTTTTTTCTGAATCTAGAAAGAATTTTACTCACTGAGAAGCGGAATCTCCACAAGCATTGGCGAGGACAAAAACGGAAACCACGAGAAGGATGATGGTAGATGAAGCTGACATGATTGGTGAATTACCATCGTGACAATCTCCTTTTTAAAGAAGTTATTTTTTGTTTGAACAACTGTTGATTAATTAAATTGATCCCAATGAAATGCCAAAAAGTTTCGTAGTCTGTGCAAAGTAACAGACTTGATCAGCTAGATTTTTGATCCTCAAAACTGTTTAAACTAAAGTATGGTAGTGCAAATAGTTTTTTCATCATTTCACTACAGTTTCTATCCACCTCCGCATATTTACCAACTTTGATCATGCGATTTAAATAAACTAATTCATTTTGACATATATTACGGTAATTATAAAAAAATGTCCATATTCTGATATTTTTTTTTGAAATAAGAAATATGCATATGTATAGATGTACAAAAAATCTCGAAAGAAGCGTAGAACACATAAAAACACTTGAAATTCCCATTAAAATGTGAATGTATCATTTTTGGCGGTTTGTTGCATGGAAGCAGGAAGGACAACAAAAACCAAAAAGACACTTGAAAAATCAAATTTTTCTTGGATTTTCCTATTTTACTGAAGAATTTCGTTGGAATTCCGCAGTTTTATGTAATTTGTTTTGATTTTGGAAGCTTTTATTCTGAATATATGTTTTCACAATGACAGTATTTTGCCTCAACTTTATGTAGCTTTGAAAATTTCCAGACAATGTTTTTATTTTGAATTATAAAAAAACATTATTTCAAAAAATATAATTTTTATTCTCATTTTAGCGCGTTTGCCTATCACAAACGTATGTTTCTCTGGTTTCTCTCTTCCTCTCACCCAATTGCGTTGGGACGTTGTGATACCTTGAATGTTTCCTTTTTTATAATTCTTTGTAAATCTTCCCATTATTTCTGTTTGCTCTATCCTCTGTTTTCCAAACTAAAAACAATTAAGATATCGACCCCACTTCCGAAAATAATAATAAAAATTCAACGAAACCTATAATTATGGCATTTCTCACCTGTTTCTCTTTCTTCTCCACCACAAAATATCCGTGGATTTTTAATTTGCATAGCATAGAAAAATCATGTTGATCATCTCGCTTTTCGTGTATACGTACGTACATAATTATAATTTGAATTCGAATTTATTTATTTGAATTTTCCGGTTTTTTTTCATTTTGCACTATGTTTTCTTCCACTCGAAATATTTTCTGATAATTATGTAGAAGAAACTCGTGAGTAAGTAAGAGTAAGAAATGTTTTTTAGAGCAGAAAAAGTAGAAAAAATCATATTTGTTGTGACAATTTTGCCTGTCAGTCAAGCATTTATGAATGAAAAAAAAGAAAAACAACAGATTGATCATTTTTGACACATGTAATAAGAGGATCCAAAATGATAGTCTAAAATATCTCAAATATCATCGAGTGTAAAGTCGAAATTTTAACTTTTTCAAATTCTTTCTGATTTTTTCTCTGTTTCTAGTAACCTGTCTAGAATTAATATTAATTGTTATTCGCAAAAATTATTTAAATCCAAAAGATTTTTAAAATTTTGCAATAAAAAACGTTTCATTTCACTTGTCACTTCGTTTTTCTTTCTTTTTTGACAGGTGACACAAAAACTCATAGAGGACATTTTTTGTTTTGCGGTATTTATTTTTTGGAGTACTTTTATTATATTAATAATCGTTTTTTCCCTAGTTCTTGTAATTATAATTAAAGGGGAAAAACTTTCTTATTGTTTTGTATTCGAGAATAAAATTGTCAAGGTTAAAAAATTGCCAAAGACTATTTTTCGAGGATCTAACATACCATATAAAAAAACCAAACCAAATGATTTTTTTCAATTTTCCTGCCTCTTTCCAATTTTTTTCTTTTTTACTCTCATTCAATCAAATCGTAAAGCTGTCATTATGTATTTTTTCTGAAAAAAGTGACATAAAATCAAACTGGTCAAAAATATGTATAAATTTTCTATGCATATTTATTTATAATCATTAAAAATTTCATGCGAGAATGCACTCGTCAATTTCATTTTTTCCCTTTTCAAATGACCAGTCAAAAGTTTTTTCCTGGTTTTTGATCTAGATGAACGTTGTACATAAATACATACTGTCAGTTTCAATTTTCTAGGAAAATAAATTGATTTGGGGTTGGTTTCTGAATTCAATTCCTTTGTTTGTTTAAATACATGTTTCCTGAAGTTTAGAGGTTTCAGATTGCAATTCAAAGTTTTGAAATGTTTGGAAGAACAATCCTGACAAAAATTACTAAACTTATACTTCAAATAATTAATTGCATTATAAGCTTTTCTGTGAAGAAATCTGAAACCTTTTGGTTCTTTCACGAGTCTTTGATCTTTCCGATTTGCACTTTTTTAAACATTTCTTCCAAATTTCTTTATTTTTTTCATCCAGAAAACTTTTTCCTCACTCTCCATAAAATCCATTCATGTTTCCCGCCCATCATAACAAAAACCTCACCTTGAAAAAAACAATAAAAATTACTGTTATCTCCGTCCGACACAGTTATCATAATAATAGTAATAATAGGAAAAATAATAATAACATTTATAGTAGGGACTTGACTTGAAAAAGTCTGGTATTTTCTGTCTATTTTTTCGCGGCTCTACAGTTACCGGTACTTAAAAGGATCTAGTTTCAAAATGAAATCTGTATGCGAGAGGATTACTTGCTTGTTTGTTTTTATTTTTATTTATGCACTATATATTATGCAACAGTTTCATTCAGTTAATCCATTTTTCACTTTTTTTTTTCAAAAAAAAATCAAAAAAAAGTTAGCATAAAAAATCGACGTGTGTGGTCCGTCGTCTAATCGCATAATCTGACCTTTCTCGATGCAAACAATAAAACAATATTTTATCGCATTTTATCTTCTGTTACTTTTATGGACTTTGAGATTAGAGGATTTTTGTTTATTCGTTTTTTCTTTTTCATTTCTGACACCCTTTGAAGCTTGGACCACCATGACTTTTAATAAAGCAAATGGGCGAGTGAAAAGCTTGCGTAATTAGGATTAGAATTAGAAACATTTTTAGTTTGATTGATAGAAATTTTATTAAATTAGATATTTGTTTTGTTTTGCTTCATTTTGAAAATTCATTGAAATAAAAATTTCAAAAATCCCCTCCATTATTAATCCAGGTTCACAATATTATCCAGGGTGAACAACAATATTTGAAAAATAATTAATTAGCATGTTAGTTTGGCGCACCTGATTAGATGCCGCTTACCCTTTTGCGGGTAGATGGGTGGTAGGTAATTAATTATCCACCTTTATAAAACACCCAATTAGTTTTGGTGCAGAGTTGTATCTCCTATCCTATCCTATTCATATTATTCACCTGACTGCAAATAATAGTATAATATTTTTATTTTTTTCATTATTAAAAATATTATTATTATTTATCTTTTAATCCAAAATGCCGCCACTTTCCTTTTGTTTGAAAATTATTGGATTGGAAGGATGCGTGAGTGCATTTTGCTTTTTGAAGTGCGGCTTTTTTGGAGTTGAAAAAACATAATTTTGTTTTGAATGAAGTTGGTTCACGAATTTTTATATTTATTTGATCTGATATTTCACAAAAAAAGTTTATGAATTCATTAGATTAAATATTACTTTTTAATTAATCTAATTCCTTGATATATTTATTTTCATTTCCTGATTTATCGTCCTGCAAAAATCCCAACTTGAAACAATGTATCACCATGGTGATCCATAATCATTCACCCGACCGATTCACATTATTTTTTCTTTTTCACAAAAAATGTGTCACATTCCAAAAAAATATTTCTTATTTTTATTTTTTAAACTAACATTTATTTGTATATATAAAACAAAACGAACACATTTTCTAATTAAATATTCACAAATCGTTATGGGACCAATAATGGTCAACTTTAGTGCCATAAAATGTCATCCCTCTATTTCATTTTTCTCCTCTTTTCTTTTTTTCTTTCTTATCATAATCCTTTTCGCCTTTTGCCATTTTTCAATTACGCGAAAATTGTTCCCTTTGCACTTTTTTTCAAGCTTTTTTGAACTCTGTTTTTGATTTGATTTTCCTTCCCCCGTTCCCTTGAAAATGTTTGTTTCCTGTCCTCGTTATTTCCCTTCGTTGTTCGTCTCTCAAAACATAGCACAAAAATTCGTCTTATCATAACAAAAAACAACCAAAACTATCCAATTATTTTTTATTTGAAAAAAATTATGAAATCCTGTTGCTTCTTTTTTCTGACCATTTTTTCACCAAAAAAAAAGAATCATAAAAGAAGCGAAGCGACAAGACAGCGGTGACTCATCTTTGCACTTTTTCGGCGGGAAAAAATATTTGAAAATATGTGAGAAAAAGGAAAACTGATTGTTAGAAATTCCCCTAAATTTATTCATAGTTTTGTACATCATTTTTCAAAAAAAAAGCAGCTGCAAAGACAAAAAATGAAGTATTGCTTCGAAATTTGGATGAAGATTGAAAAAATCTAGAGAATGAATTATTTCCTTAAATAAAACTGGGTTATTTTTTGCTATAAACATAACATGTTAGTCGATTAATCATTTTGTCGTGAAAACCGAAAATTGTTGCAATTTGTCACTTTTTACATTTTTTGGCAACATTTTTGGGGATAATAGATATCAAGGTTTCGGGGAAAGAGGTAGTAACGAGTTTTCTGGATTGATAGTTGTAATATACCACTCCAAATTTTCTTCAAAGAAATTTTTTTGCCAGATCAAATATATTTTCTCTAATTCTCTCACTGTGCACTGAATTTTGTGGATTTTATTAGCCTTTCTATATTTTTCGAACAAATTATTTTGGTCTTGATCTTCCGGAAGTAAATTTCTATGAAAACTTTTTTTTTCAATATTGAAACTTTCTATATATTTTCCAATATCCCACAATCAAAATAATTCTGGAACATTTAATGATTCCGACATTTATGCTCTCAACATTCTCCTCATTTCACCCTAATCCCAATCTAACCAAGGTCTCTACTTTTTTTCATATAAACACCGCGCAAAAACAAAAGCGGGGAACGAATCAAAATTCTTAGTTAATACTACTAATAATAACAACTAAAAATATTCTTTGGGTCAGTCATCTGCCAGCTCATACCAAAACAAACAATTATTTGGTTTGTGTCAATTTCTTGGTGTTATTATACATAGTTTTACTTTTCCTATCAGTCTGTTTTGTACATTTGATTTGTTTTTTTCCTCACTTCAGACAAAATAAAAATACCGGAAGTTCCATTTCTCTGAAAGTGTTCCCTTCCTTTTTACACTTTTTTTGCAGCGCTCAAAAATAATGGGCGGATCGAACGGTTTCGATGATTCATTTCATAGAGGCCCCCGTTTTAGCTCCGCCCAAACTCATTTTTCTCAACGCCGCTGGTCATTTTCACAGTTTCTTCCCTTCCCTTCTTCTTCTTCTGTTCATTTTTTTATTTCTGATTTTTTCTGCGCCCACCCCACACCAATTTACTCACCATAAAGTAAGTTTACTGCCACCCTAGCCAACACCAATTTAGGAACATTTCCCTTCTCTCCCTCTTCTCAAAAATGAAGAAAATGTTTTCTTCTAGTAGTTTTTTCTTGAGTGATGAAGCGAATGTTCAATTTCCTTTTCTGATGATTTCCCATCTTTTTTTGCATGTTGCTTGCTCTCCAAAAGAAAAAAAAAAAGAGTTTGATGCCCTTTAATCCAGCGCGGCCCCAAAAAAACCGCCAAACATGTTGTTTTTAGCCATCCATAGCGAGCGGTGACCAAAAATACGCCTCGAGGGTACAATTTATCATTGTCATTATGACTCACCCCGCCCCAAATATTCTATATAGTTAGTTTTGATTCCAGAATTTATATTTATTTTTTTATTTCGAAAACATATCACATTTCAAAAAAAAGCGTCCGTTCATTTTTTATAGTTTTCCAAAAAAACGAACGCCGCAACTGTATTATTGTTTATATTTTGTAATTGATATTGCTATTGATAGCTTTTTTGCAGCCAAATAGAATAGAATACTGTAGCCTTTTTTGCAGCGTTCGAAATATTATGAAATTTGATCTATGTGCTGAGATACTGTAGTCTATCACGACTTGTAGAAAATCCAAAAGTTTCTTCTCGCAATCTCATCCCTCTTTTTAGGAAAAGAAGACTTCATTGAAACTTTGACCATGTGTTATTATCCAACGCATAATTCCAATAAATACTAACAAAATTTCCTTTTTTCGACTCATTTTCCCACTTCATCATCATCAGGCTCATCAACACACTAACTCATCCCATTCCATTCTGTCCCCGCCGAAAAAAATTGACTTTTCTACTTCATTGCTCATTATAACCCCCAAATATCACCCCCTCTCCCCCTTTTTTTCTGATGACCAGCCGGCTCCACCCCTCCCTAAATATAGGCCACGCCCACATTTCTGGTCAGCACAGCGAATTCATGTCGGTGAATCAAGCTGCATTTTTGTTGTTGATGATTTTTTCAAGTATATATATTTTTTTTGTTGCATGTGTTTATTTGAGCGGAAAATTCAAGGATTTTGTTCTGTTCTGTTCGAAATCGGGTCGTGAGAAAATGAGGATTTATTTGGCTTAATTTTAATATGAACGAAAGTTTTTGCCAAAATTAAGTTAGTGAAAGTTTTGTGTTCTTTTGTTTCTTGCTTCCTAATTTGCACCTTTTAAGTAATTAAATTTACGGTAGCCTGGCTTGGAGATTTCGAAATAAAATTTTCAAAATCTCAAATTTCTTTTTGAAAACTGTCAATTTTTCTCACAATAATATTCCTGAATAACAACAACAAGTATAGTAACATTTATAATATTAATATTGGTATTATTATTATTCCTTTAATAACACATTAAATATCTTCTCTGCGCGATTTTCTTCCGGAATAGTAAACACTCTTCTTCTCTTTCTTGTTTTGCAAATACAAACAAAAACCGTTTTACCTCTTTTCCTCTAACATATTTTCCATATTCCACAAAATTCCACTTTTCCATGAATAGCCACCGTTAGGGTCAACATTCTGAATTTCTATGTACACACATATTTTCACACTGTATTTTATGCATGTTTGATTCGAAAAAACATATTTTATATGTTTGATATATGCAGCTGCGGTATTTATGAGCACCTGTTTTATGATTTTTGACGATTTGGACGGTTCTAGGGAAATTTGCCTGTTTTTGAGGCTTTGGAATTTGGCATAGGGTTCCAAAAGTAATATCCTCACAGTAGCTCCAATCAAAAAATTGCTACAGTTTAAACTCTGAAAAATTTAATTTTTTGAATCTTGATTTTTTCGACTTCCAAGTTTCTGTTTCAGCAAGTCTCGAGAAATCTCTAGTTTTCTTCTGAAATATAGAATTCACAGCTATTTTTTGTGTTCTTTTTGTTCCAAGTTTTTTTGTTCAGAATAGAATTCCGGATTTTTAACGACTTCCGAGTTTAAAAGAATTCTTGAGCCAAATGTTTTTCTTTTAAAACAAAATCTCAGACTTTTTTAATATTTATGTACAATGCGGTAAAACAACAAGAAGAAAACTAATTTAAAATCAAAGGTTTTCCCCTCCTCTTATATGTATATTTCTATTGTTGTTTTTGCGATTCTCATCTCTCTTCGAGAAAAAAAGGTCACGCCAAATCCAAAAAAGAAATCTCTTGCTCTTCTCTAATTGTGCAATTTTTCATCTTCTTTTTTTTCATACACCCCTCAATCAGCTGCACCATTGTGTGCACTTTTTTATATTGGTTATGTAGATTCTAACAAAAATATAGTAAAGTAAGATGAAATTATATGGGTGGGTTGGGTTGCAAAAAAAAAGTGCAACACCTGCAAGTGTGTGGCAATGATGATCGTCTTTTTTTTTGTTGAATGAAAATAATAGGGGTTGAAGAAAATTGAAATTGAAATTGAGACCAAATAGAGGCAGGTGTCACAGATGTGAAGTGCAACGAGCGAAAAAAAATTACGATGCGTTTTTTGTCTCTTTCATTTGTTGCCTGTTATTCATATTATTCGTCTTTTAGTTTTTTTTGGTTTTTTTCAAGAAACCCCAAAAACTAGGGAATTTTTTGAGTTTGTGGTGTAGACTTTCTAGAACTTCTCGCAGTCGACAAAGACTGATTTCATTTTCAAACCAAATAGACCTGAAATATTTTTTTTCTAATTGTTCTGATTTTTCGTCAGGGTTGGCCATTTCGCCTCTCTCGCCCGGCGAAGAGGCGAGTTTCGCCTCGTTTTTTGAAGAAACCCGAGGCGAAGTTCGCCTCTTCGCCGGGCGAGAGAGGCGAAATGGCCAACCCTGTTTTTCGTTGAAAGAAAATCTCATGATTTCTATTTATTCTTCAAAAATTAGTCCCATGAAAATCTCTAGACCTAAAATTTGTAAGTCCAAATGTAAGAATTCAAACTTTTCATTATCCTCCCAAATTTCTTCCTAAAAATTGTATGTAAACGTGAAAAATTAAAGTTCCTTCTTCTCTTGATACATTTTCAGCCAACCAAACATTAACACTAATTAATTATCTTATCTCTTGTTAACTATACAAATCATTAATCTAATACTAAAAACATGTATAAATGTTCGACACCTGACCCACAAATCTATCTATAGCCACAACCCACAATTAATCAAAACACAAACATATCAAAAAAATAACATAACAAAGCTTCCTGTTGCTTGTTTGTAGGCGGAGTTTACACAAACTTGCACAAAAAAACATATAAAAAAGAGGTTTTGAACTCATGAAAATCACAAATAATAAATACTAATAATGTATATATATATATATATATATATACATTTTCTTCTGCTGCTCCAATTTTACAATCATTGATACATAGCAATCATTATTTTGATAAGCTGTACTGCCAAATGTTTCCTCTTTTTATTTGTGTGTGTATTTTCTTGAAAATTTTTGAAATTCCCTTTCACTTTTATTTTTGAACTTGACCTTTTCGATTTTCAGCGGTATGAGGTTGCTCACACTAGTTGCGTTCACAGCGATTGCTGGAATCAGTGCGAGAATCGTTAATAAAGGTGGTGTTATCAATGTGAGTTTGGAAATATTTCAAAATATTTATTTATCTCAATAATAAAAAATTTTAAGGCTCGAGATGGCAACGAGGCTGTTATGACATGTCAATTTGCTGATGTTAATGCTGATGATCTCTTTGTGATCTGGAAGAGAAGCGGTGAAATTATTGCGACCAACGAGGATGCAAATAGTGATGCATATTCAGTGGAATTGACCGATTCGGCTTCAATTTTGAGAATTCATCGAGTTGAGCCAATTTTCAGCGGAGACTATTCTTGTCAACTTGGAGATGATGAAGAGGCGGTTATTACATTCACTGTCAATGTTGAAGGTAAGGGTTTTTGAGGTTTGAAAAATAGAGAAGGGGGAGGGGTAAAAATTTGAGAAGCTGAACATCTCAATGCAATCTGATGCTAATTTGGAGTTGAGCAATAAAGTCTGAACATCGAAAAATCGCTGATGTTCTGAAACAACCAATGACTGAAAATTAAAATTGTCAGGAATACTTTTTTTAAAATTGTCAGGAATACTAAATTTAGAATTCCATTCTAAATTTCTGAATTCTTCTCTCTTTCGTTTTTTCTCAAAAAAACGTGTCTAGAGCTTTTGATCAAAATCACAGTTAAACCCCAACCGCGTTGTAACAATTTAATTGGGGCTTTTTTGCAACTGTAACAAAAAACAAATCGCAAAAACTTTCCAATCAACTTCAAGCCATCATCTTCCATCAAAATCCCCAAACATATTTCAAAATGTTTGATATATCATGTCACATCATAACATTTTATGCATCGTTTTTCTATCTGCCTCATTTTTCGGTGCTAACTAAATCCGCGCGCAGATGGAATGTCGTAATGACAAATGGGTAATAAGCGAACGATGAGAACAACCACACAGAAAAGGAAAAGAAGAAGAAGAAGAAGAAGACAAAGATGAATCTAACCGATAACCACAATTTTCCTTGTGTATATATAATAAGGAAGGAAGGAAGAATCGGAGAAAGGGGAAGATGTTTTGATTCGCGTGTCACTTTTGGTTGGCAGCAAAGGGTCATCTTAAGGTCATACTGATAGTTTCAAGATTTGGAATGTGGAGAGGGGGATTTTTTGAGGAAAAATTCGATACCGATTGAAAGAAGAAGAAGAAAAAAATCCATCTTACGCAATCTTCTGGAAACTGTGTCTTTAGAAAATTTCTGAACTATTTTTGACGTGCAGGCGTTGAAAAGATGTCCTTCTTTCCCGAGCAAAAATTTAAAAATTCAAATTTAAATTATACATCTGAAATAATATCACAAAAAATTTGAAGTTAATTTCAGATTTATTTGTTTTATGAAAGTATGATAATGTTAACTGACATCTCTTTTTTTCAGTCAAACCAGTCGTCTTGATTTCGCCAGCATACATCGATACTCAAATCGGACAGAAAAATTTAGTCGTTGTGTGCCACGTGAAAGAAGGAAATCCAAAACCAAGTGTTACATGGACCAAAGAGGTACGTTTCTATTTTTTCTTATTGACAGTTTTTGTTGACCGGATTATGTGGAGCATGGGTAGATAATTAGAGGGATGAGCACTCAGTTTTTGATCCTATAATATCGGCCAATAATTTTTAATAAGGAATAGAATGGGAATAAGAATAATTATTGTTATTGGTGTGAGATGGATTAGTTTTTAGTCGATGAATGGGTTTGAAAACAATGAACGAAATAACAAATTAGGTTGGATTAGAGATTTCTTGAGGAGTTGTTTTCACAACTAAAAACAATGCATTTTTGCAGGGAGCTTCTTGGCCAACCGACATCAAACTAGAGAACGAAAATCAAAAAATTGTATTCTCTGAAGTCACAAAAGAGCACGCTGGAAAATATCGATGCAAAGCTGAGAACATTGTCGGAACCCACTCAGATGATCTCGAAATCACCGTGTCAAGTGAGTTTTTAATTTCTCAATTACAAAATGAGAGTAAAAACCAAACCTCATTCTGTAATAGAACAGAAACCAACTTTTTTAATGAACCAGGAAAACTAGAACAACAAAAAATAATGAGCAAGTTTTTTGCTACGAAAAAAAAACAGATCAAAGGAAAATGATGTTTTTTCTTTTACATCAATTAAAAGTGTATCAAAAAAAATGAAATTGATGACATCAATTATCACGAAACGGCAAAAGTTCATCATATAAATTTATGAGGGCAATGTTTGAGTGATTGGATTTTTTTTGCTGAAAGTGTGAAAATTCCGAGTGTAAAAATGATAACATGGATCTGATTTTTTTTCTGATGATTTTGAAAATGATGTTTGAGAGTTTGAAATTGCAACAGAAAAAAAAATATGATATGTATGAGATTTGAGATTTTGAGTTCAGGATTGAAATTTTAAATGTTATTTTTGAAAAATATTATTGATTTTCTCAATTTTAGAAAAGAAAAAAATTGTTTTAATGAATTTGAGGCTTGAGCAAACCTGATTTCTTTTGATATTAAAAAAATCTAACGTATTTACTCTAGCCTAAAGCAACTTCAAAAACTTAAAACATTTTCACAAATTTTTTGAACTTGATTTTGGGATTCTCTTTCTTTATAATTTTATGAAACTTTACAATTTTTTTCATTATCCGTATGTTTTTTTCGAATTTTATGCTCCAGACTTTTCAAAAAAACATGCCAACCGTTTACAATCCTAACAAAAAATCATAAATCATTTTTGCGTGAAAAAGTTTGCCGTTTTCTTTGTTTTTACAATACACTCACAAAAGATCATAATTCAATCAAAAAAATCTTTCAGCTTCTTCAAACCAAGAAGGTGAGTTGAGATGTCATTCATAAATATCTCAATATATGTTATATTGTCCTGCATGTCTCATCTTTTTGTTTGTCTTTTGTTTTGTCTTTATTACCGCACATCTGCCCAAGGTGTTATTATTAGTTGATGACAACAATCCTCCCTTTTTGCAGCTGCTTTAAAGGAACATGAAGGGACTTTTGGGAAAGGGAAAAATAAGGATGAGAAGGATTGAGAAAAAAGGGTCTCACGACAATCTAACAGATGGTTGATAGATCTAGGTGACAGACAAAATACTGATGTGTTCATAAATACCATATGGGGAAATATATCGGGGTTAAGGGAATAAGGCAAAAAAAAAGAGATTTATTAATGGGAATATGAATTGAAATATGACTTAGATGTGTTGATCAAACAATATTCTAGTTTAATCTTAGGGCAAGGGTGTTTTGGTGACAGTAAAAAATAGGCTTTTGTAGCTCGAAAATAATTTTTTTAAAATAGGCTGAATTCAACGTTTTTTTTTCAGAATCAAATAGTTATTTCAATATTAAGCCTCTATCATAAAAGTTGAATAAGTGTTCACTACCACTTTTCAAAGACAAAAATCGGAACTCAAATTCCCACACGCCTGATTCACCATGTACTTGTCCTTTCCCGCATAAATATATCACCCAGCTTCTTCTTCGTCTATAGCTTCACACCTATCGCTTCTATGCACCCCATATTTCATTTCAAATCCCACTTTTTTTCAGAAAAACCATGGGTGAAAATGGACGAAAAAATCATCACTGTCAACAAGAATCAAGACATTGATATTTCTTGCAAATATGATGGAACTCCAGTTCCAAGTGTTGAATGGTTGTTCAACGGATGGAAGATTGCTGTAAGAATTTTTTTTTTTTTAAATTTTTAAAATTTAAAATTTATGTTTTCCAGAGCCACAGAAAATTCAAGGACATTAAAGAAACTGCGCAACGTTTTGATGGATATTCCATGAGCACTTTGAGAATTTCGAAAATCAACGAGGACACTTTTGGAGATTATAGTTGTCGAGTTTCAAGCAAACTTGGAACTGCTCAAGCTGTCGTTCATGTCAACGGTAAGTCGTGTGGAAACCCATTAATTAGCTGAAATTACAAGACGACGAACTCTTCCCTCTCCCCTTCTTCACCCAAAAACATAAATAAATAATTCACCTGCTCAACAATGACATCGGCCACCTTTTGGTGTTGTTCGAGAAAAAAGAACACCAAGACCGATTTACATATATGATGTATTAGGAAGCGAAGAATAATTGGTGTTATTTCAGGAAAGCCGGGACCACCAGAATTGTCTTTCGAAGTCAATGAATTGGCTTGGACTGTCAGATCTTTGGACAAAGTTTTGGAATATGAATTCTGTTATCGTTTTTCTGGAACCGACTCTTTCTTGCCAGAAAATTGCCCGAAAAATCGTGTTGGCAAGAGTGAGTTAGAAGTTTTTTGTTCTGGAAAAGTTCATGATTTTCAGATGACAACAATGGACAAGATGACAAATGGACACATTCGATCGATTTGAGCAGCTATTTGGAGTTTGACGCAATTTACGAAATTCAAGCAAGAGCCAGAAACTCATTGGGATGGGGATCATTCTCGAGAGAACCAATTCGTGTTCAACTTGCTGGATCATCCAAGAAAGGTAATTTTGTGGATAACATTATAAAAAAATTGTGGGAAATACGAGATTTTGAATAAAAAAAAATTATTTTAGTTGGTTATTTTTCAAGAATTCAAAAATGATTTCAAATACAAACCAAACACAAAATGTTTCATTGGCATAATTTTCAAAATGCTGAAATTCAAAAATTAAAAAATTAAAAAAAATTCATTTGACTGACTTTGTAATTGAAACATTCTATCAAAAAATCTTTCATTCTAAAGTTAACCTATTATTTTTCAGCACCAGTCAAATCTGCTCATATTGCATCAGGCTTCTTCATGACTGTTTTCACTATTCTCACAATCATCTGTCTCTTCTAATTTTTCTGTCTTCTTTCCACAAAATCTCGAACCTTTTTAGTGACAAATTTTTTGACTACCATGCCATTCTTTCCCGATACCTCTAGATTCAAATTTTCAAATAATTTTCGAAACATCAGGGTCTAGAAAGTCTGACATATTATTTTTCTGTGGTTTTACTTTTTTCACTTTTTCCTATTTTTCATTTTGCTCTTTCTGTCCCATTTCTGCACAAAATTGTGATTTTTTCAATTTATATTCTTATTCTTTCTCTCCGAAATTCATCGGGTGATTTTTCAACGACTTTTTTCAAACGAATACTTATGTTTTTTTTCTTTGTCATTTTTTTCCAAATTTTATCTGTATTTGTTCTTTATCGAATCTACAGTACTCGGTGTTTTTTCAATGTTTTATTGTTTCAGTTAACCTAAAATAAATAATTTTGTCAAACATTTACTTTTTCAGTCAGTGTTCAAGATTTAAACAATTTAATTGCACTTTACAACATTTTTTTGACCGCAGAAAAAATCATTTAAGGTTTTTAAAGGGTATTAAAAAGGTCATAGGGAAAAAGTGGAAAGTGAAATTTGCATTTGAGAAAAAAAGCGATAGGAAAAGAATTAGAAACGGGTTTTGAAATTTTGGGTTCAAAAACTACTTACAGATGTAATGAGAAAAAAAAGCTTCAGACAACAGCACTATTATCTACAAGTCACAAATCCACTTAGAATCCCTTCATCAAATGAGAAACCGTGGTTGAAATTAAAAAAAAATGCTACTACCAAAGTTTCAACCCAAAAAAACCTGTAGGGATTTTTAAAAGTACATTTCTCTAACCTTTCCTCTCTTTTCTCGAATCATCGCAAAAATGCATCAAACAATACACTTTAAGCTTCATTAATGTTCATCGTTTTGCTAATCAAATCAGACATCAGAAACAATTTTTGACCTTTTTCCAAATCATAACAATACTTCTAAAAATAGTCATTGTTAGTTAGCAGAAGCAGTAGCAGCAAAAGCAAGTTATGGCGTTCATAGATCGTAAACAACCTTGATTTTGAAACCTATTGTTTTCGGATTGATACTAGTTTTTTCGCAGTCTGTCTCTTTTTTTTGTTGTTCTTCTCATTATTTGGAAGCTTGCCAAAAATGACCCCGTGATCGGAAAAATGGAAATTGATGTATATAAAAGCATATAAAAACTTGATGAAATCAATATTTGTTGTTTGGTCATTTTTCGGAAACTATTTATTGTTTGATATGAAAATGATTGATTGATAGAAAGGAAAAACGGGAATCAAGAAAAAACTGAAACTGAACCAGAACTGAAATTTTTATCCGAGACTAAAAAGTCTTTGAATGAAACGTTTTTTGTTTGTGTGTTCAGACATCAAAAATAGGAAGTTTAAAAAACTGAAAATTAAGGAAAATTTCAGTTTTTTATGATAGCGAACATTCTTGAAGTTTTTTTTGAGAAAAAGTGTGGAAATTTTTGATCTACTTTTTATTGGAGAGAATAAACTGAACCGTCAAAAATTGAGCAAAGAAGTTGAATATATGTTGTACAAGGATGTTCTAACTTTTAATCGGGATCTTAAAAACAGTTTTCAGTGGTTCAAATAAGACGTGATGTCACAAAGTTAAAAATTCGCGAAAAATCGTGACGTTCATTCGATTTATGCATTAAAGTTTTTGACTGAATAACATTAATTTTACAGAAAATAGGATAGTGTATATCCTCCCGAACAACGCAGATTTTTGTTCAAATAATTTAAGATTCTAGTTAACCCCTCGTAAAGTCACAATTATTTAGAAATTACCAAACTTTTGCCAATTTCATTGCAGAAGTTGAGTTCTACAGTTTTTGACGACGAGATTGGGTTCATCGGGTCCAAAACTATTATAAATTTGAACATTCTGAAGTTTGTGATGTTTTTCCGTCTAATTTTCAAACGTATCTTCACACAATTTGAAACCAAGTTCATTATCTTCGTGTTTTGACCAGAACACAAACCACTAATTTTTCCTAATTTCCCAAATTCCCCGATATCATAACCTCATATTTTTCTTCTTCTCTTCATTTCAAAATTTGTTCTGTTCTACACTTTATGATCTCTTTTTTGCCCATTTATTTTTTAAACTTCACAGCGTCCACTTCATTTTCAGAAAAAAAAACAAAACAAAAATCAAACCCAATTTCGGGGCGGAGAAAATAAAAGGAAGAAAAATTGAGAGAAGATGAAGAAGAAGAAGAAGAAAAGAAGAATAATTCTGCCCATTTTTGGCAGATTTCACCTTCAACCGTCCCGTACTATCTTTCCATTCATTTTCTCTTGTTATTGCAATCAACGTCAAATTATTCATTCGGATAAAATATTTCTCGCGCACGCCATTGATATAGAATGACAAGATTTACGATTTTTGCTGCTGTTTTCGTTTTGCTTTCATTTGTTGCTGGTAAGTTTTGGCTGTGGTAAAAATTAGATTTTCAGAAAAATAACGTTTTGATCAAAGTTCCATTAAAATTTCGGTTTTTTAATGGAAATAAATTTTCAAAAAAGAAACCAAGTACAACTTTTTAAATCTAATTCTAGAACTTCCCACAATTAACTAGAGTAAATTTTTGTAAGAACATCTACTTTTTAGACACATAATTTTACCTCCCGAAAATCTAAAAGTTCAATTTACACTTCAAACCAAAAAGCACTTTGCCCACTCATCTTTAAAATAAAATAATAAATTATCTCTTGAAAATTTCATATCACTACGAATTACAAATTTTGATCAACCTTGAACGCAGAAACCTGATTTTTGAAATGAATCAGAACATTGACCTTTTTATAGACCAATTAAAATAAAAGTCAATTTGATTTCAGTTTCTGATGCTGTTCCTTGCACATTCATCACACCTGGTCAACAAATAACCTATGGAGTTCGGGACGGTTTGGTGCATTTCAGAGTTGTTCTAACTGGCATCTCACCAAATACTTCAGGATGGACAGCAATTGGTTTCGGAAACAGTATGGTAAGAAAGAAAAAAAACGCAAAAAATTTTGACCCAGGCAGGGATCGAACCTGCAATCTTCTGATTAGAAGTCAGACGCCTTATCCATTAGGCCACAAGGCCACAGAAAAATACACACATATTCTTTCTTTTACTCTCGTTGTCTGCACTTTTTCTGTGCTGTGCTTAGTGTGTCTATGTTTGTTTGATGAGAGATGGATGTGGGGAAAAATAGACAGGAACAATAGTCTTTATGAATGTGAAATGTGTGAAGCATAGGTGATTTATTATTGTCGCGCAAGTTTTTTGGCAACATTTTTGTGTCGAAAAAGTGTAAAAAATTTTTGGGTGATGTTAATGATCTCTTATAATAACATAGGGGAAAGTTATGTAGATCAAAAAAACAAAAAAAATAAGGGAGTTTTCCGAAAATTATGATTTTTCCAGTTCTCTGGTTTGGATACCATCGTAATTCGAGTTCTCAATGGAAGAGTTTACGTAACTGATGAATATGTCAGAGGATTCACATCACCAACTCCAGACAGAGTAAGCTTTTGAAAAAAAAAACGTTCATGATTTATCATACAGAAAAATAACCTTGATAGCCGTATCAAAAAAAAATCGAATAATTATTGTAATATTTTTGCAGACCAACAATGTTCAAGTCTACGGTACAAGATATGAAAATGGTGTTGTAGTTGCCTCATTTTCTCGTTCTATTTTCTCGACTGAAGCAAGTGATGCTAACTTATCTGGATGTTCACCTTGGAAATTCTCGACTGGATTGAATCGAATGAGTGGACAAGGTCATTTATTCCACCATTCACAAACACCTGTCCATAGACAAGTTTGCATTCAACAATGTACTGTTTAGAAGAAGGAATTTATTTTGGAAAGGATCTCAATACATTTCTCTTACTTTTTTTTTGTTTTTTATACATATGTGCGATGTTTTTTATTTAGAAATAAATTTTAAAATTTTTTACGGAAAAAATTACTGGAGAAGAATTTAAAAAAACATTCATTGATATTACGACATCTATGCGATACGAGACCAATATCACCCGATACAAAAATAAATATGATCGTAAATATAAAGCTCTACAAATCCCAACTGAATAAATGATGTTTGATAAGCATGTCAGTAACACCTTGTTTCAGCGGCTCATCTACTGAATTTTTATTATCTGATGAAGTTGCAACTACTGTTGATAGAATTTTCTTCTTTTGACTTGTAAGAAGCTGAAAATAAGAAACATGTTCATGGGAGAATCGGAAAAAAACTCACATTGTTCACAAATTTCTTCTTTTTCTTATCGATTCCTTCAATTTCAAAAAGCATATTTAAATTAAAAGAAAATTGTGCCAAAAGTCGGAGGTCACATTTAATTTGACGCCAAGCTGGAGATCTGATGAATGCCCAGCTATGATAATATTTATTTCGAATATGTTCGTGATGATTCGCAGAGCACAGGAGATCAAACCAGAGGTGGAGACATTGTTCATTTACACCAACGACAAGAAGACTTCTGGAAAATTGAAAATTTACTCTTTCATCTTCACTTAGTCCAATTATCCACTAACCTTAATTTCACATCTGAATGTGAAGAGACAGCATTATGCGAATCGTTTATCATCTGTACACTTCTAAACAACAATTCCTCTGGCGTCAAAATCTTTCCATCCTGATCAAGATTGAAAGTGTTGCATAGCGTCAACCGCGAATACACCGAATTGAAATTTTTCTCCACAGAGTAATACGCAATATCCTCAATAAATGACCATGGGTGATAAGCCATTGTAGAATACAAAACATTCTCCCTGATTCCGTGATCCATTATTTGTCTGAAACTATTCGCCAATCTTCCTCTGATATATTCCGTGATTTCTGGAGACACAGCTTCATCCCCATAAATTGTATAACTTTTTCCTCGCTCATCAACAACTTCAACAAATTTTGCAGGAAACCATCCTCGTAAACCATTCACTTCTCCAACCCAACAATGCTCATCTTTCTCCGAAATAATAGTTATAATATCATTTTTCCGGAATCCTAATTCATCTTCATCTTGTCGTGCGAAATCTAGAAGTGCTCTTGCTCTTTTTGCACCCTCTCTTCGACCTTTCAAGTAGTTTTCAATATCTTTATTATGACTTTCTGGACTATAATCTGCTTGGGTGCACACATTCATTTCCATTTTCTCATCGCAAGAAATAAAATATCGACAAATTTGCAAAACCGATTCTTTCAAATCCACCAAAATTTCAGTCTGTCGAATATTTTTCATCTTGGGATCATTTGATACCTGCGAAATTATAATTTCATGAGAATTTAATGATGTTATAACAAAACCTACATCATCTTTCGAACTGAAAATCTGTTTGATAATCGACTTTGACCTTGTCAATTTTCTTCGTTGTGTTGTTTGTTTTGGCAAATTTGTATCAGTTGAGGTGTTAACAATCATTCCCTGATCTGCCATCAGAACTGCTTGGTGTTTTTTACGAAGTTCAGCGATGAGATGATCAGTAATTGTGAATTCAAAAGATCCCATGTATTCGATAACTTTTTCAACATCTTTCACCTAAAAAAATCAATAGTGTTTCATGTTTGTTTAGCTGATTTTGTTTTATATTACGGGTCAAAGGCAGTATTTAAATTCTAACAGTCTCTAAAAAACTCACTGAAGTTGGAAGTTGGCTCAATGCTGTGAAAATATCTGCAGAAGATTGTGTGGTATTTGCAATTTCCACGAGTTCCTCCTCTCTCATTTTCAAAATCGAAATTATTACCTGAAAATCATGTTTAGCTTCATTTTTTCATTGAACATTCAAACACTTCAAAAAACACTCACTCTAAAAATATTCACACTTCCAGAATAGAAAATGAAATCCCAAACACGCAACAAAACTCTTGTTGGAAAAACAGAGCCAAATAATGTCAACAGCCAATTGATTGTTAGAAGTGAAATCTGAAAATTATTTTAAAAATTTATAAATGATCTTTGGATTTGAGAAAGACTGAATTTACCTCAACTTCATAGTCGTCCAAGGCTTTGTTGAGATCTGGAACATGACACTTCATCAAATGTCGTGTTACACGTTCATCAGCTTGAAGACCTAGCAAAGTATGACTATAGAAATTTGGAGGCAGGATGTCTTCGATTAATGCTGTCATCATCCAGAATGTTGTTTCTTCGGAGCAATATAACAGCAAGATTGCGACTATTACACCTGGAAATTCGGATTTGTAATTTCGTAATTTTTTTCAGTAAAAAATTCTGACTCGTTTTATGGGTATTTTTATGGCTTTACCAAAAATCTAAAATTTAGCGAGAAAACAAAAAGAAAATGTTAGACCAATATATTCCATTAGGAATTGGCAAAACTGCTTTTTTTAGAATTCAGATTTTTTCAGACAGAACTTTGTTTTGAGATTGAAAGCCATTTCCTGATTTTTAATAACCGAAAATATTCTACAAATCTAATTACGCATACATTTTTAATTAGATGTTTCTCTCTCTTTTCCAATTCCACCTGTTTTAGCCCGCACCAAAACTCACCCATTCCTTGGCAATATCCAAGATCGGGATAAATAAAAGCGACAGATTTCAGAATTCTCCGAAGTGCTTCCACACCGTGAGAATTCTTTTTCCAAAAACAAATATTATTTGGGAGAGTTCGCAGAAGATCTCGTTCGATTTGAACGCCTGAAAATTCATGAGAAATAAATTGAATTAATTTAAAAACAAAGAAGAGTAATGAAATTTCTCACTCACCAACACTTGGTTTATCTTGTGCACATTGTCTAAGGACACTTTCATAAGTATATTTCGCATCTTTTTGTTTTTTCGTTGCTCCACATAATCTTGGCCATAAAAACGGTCTCATCGAATGTGGTATGCCTCCTTCTTTCAACAATTTTTCAAAGTTCTCATTTTTCAAATCCTCTCCTTTTATATTCGACCACTTCAAATCTTGTTTTATGTCCGGATATGTGTCTTGCAATAAAGAGATCAATTTCATTCTGGAAAAAAAAGTTGCTCTTTTTTTTGTTCCAGGATTCCTGGAGGAAAGGAGAAAACTTACTTATGCGTGGTATTTTCAAGTGTCGAAGAGCTTGCCGTTTCTTCATGGTCCTCATTTTTTCGAAAGCCAAACTCATTGAAACTGCAAATAAATGAAGCTCATTTTCTGTCCTTCTAATGCATTAGCAAAATTACTTGCTCAAAAATAAATCAATAAACTCACAAAGTGTGTGGATCTTCAATATAAATGGGCAACATTGATTTGTTTATTGCTGAAAATGGTTTGTCATCCAGATCGAAGAACGAAGCATGAATTTCTTGATCTTTCTGAAAATTAAATTTTAGAGAAGTTTTTATGGTTTGGCTAAAGCCCAATAAGCCGGCTTGGTCTGCTTTTTATGAAAATTTTCCCACCTCTTTAGTAGTTTCAGCAATTTTCCGAGCCATAGGTAATTCTACATCAGCTTCATCATCATCGCAAATCATATCTGCATACTTCGCATCTTTTCCTAAAAAAAGAATTTATTCTAACTCTCTTAAAATGATCAAAATCTGAAATCCGAACCTTTTTTATATTTGGCCATTATTGGAAAATGTTAGGGAGTAGTGTGATGTAGTGTAGTGCAAAAATAGAGGAAGAGGGAAAAATAAAAATTCAAGTCGAAGAAAAAATGAAGAGAAATGAGACGCAGGCAAGCAGATTGTGCTCCAAAACGAGAAGAAGAAGAAGGAGAGGAAAAAAAACGCCGCACACCCAATTTTTCCCGATAAAGCAAAAGCATCGTCTTTTTTTCATCATCAATGTGAGACACACAAAAATAACATTTCCTTTTATGCATTTCTTATATTACATTAACAAATATTAATAATGATATAATGGAAAAATGAAATGAAACGACCAGAAGAAACCCGCGGGTACGAAAATAATAAATAAATATTTTGATATACAATAAAGTGATGAGGGAGATCAATTTAGTTTTTGGATAATAAATTTAGAAGAATTATTTCACAAGATTTGAACATCTTGATGGGTGGTCCAAAATAATTGACTCCAGCGCTCACGTAGACGTATGTATCGGTTCTTGAATCGTAATATAACCCTCTGGAAAAATTATTTGAAGAAAATGTTTTATGAAATAGAAAAAAAAGGTTACCTGAGATATGCATTGGCGATTTTGACAAGTGGAACCCAAGGATACATTTGACCACCATGAGTGTGACCTGAAATAAGATCGGACATTTTATTTCACGCTTGAATTTCAAAATCTGAAATAATTTTCATCGAATTTTTATACATATTCTAATCAGGTTGATTTGTTTTTCATTTTGTTCGTATAATCATAATACAAAGATTAACTAGAAAATCGAACTTTTTGTTTTTGTTTTGATACGCTGACTAGATTTTTATAGTCTTCAGAAATTGAAAACGAAAAAAGCTCTAGTTTTATATTTTCATTAAAGCTGCATTCAAAACTTCTGAATTCTCACCTGACAATATCAGATTAACTTTTTTGCTCAAAACCGGATCATCAATAACAATTCTAGCTGCATTTGGTTGATGTGCCAATAAAATATTTGTTGAATCTGCATTACAAGTTGACAGAGCTGCCGACATATTCATTCCATGCCCAGGAATATGCACCCGTTCTGCATAAAGATCATCAGCTCCAGCAATACAGAATTTTTCATTTTTAATTGTCACATGTTTATTTGAATTATGCAAGATTTTGATATTACATCTCTCTAAAAACCAAAACCATTCGGTAATATTTCCGTGCATATATTCATGATTTCCTGAAAATATTTTTGGTTATTCTCCCTACAAAAAAATGATGACGTGTTTTTTCATCTCATTTCCCTTTCCACATCAGAGGCCACGAAAAAGTAAACAAAACACTTTTGGGTTTAACACAGACCACGATTATGGAAAGTTGTGAAAATGACACATACCAGACCACAAAAAAATTACTGACCTGTAGCAAAGTACACACCCCCAGGAGCTGTTAAATTACAAAGTGGTTCAGCAGCTTCGTGGAAATCATTGACCATTCCATCAGCAAGATCTCCAGCAATCGCAATAATATCAGGCTTGAGTGAATTTGTAATCTCAACAATTCTTTGCATACGTGTTCTTCCGACCGATGGACCAATATGAATATCCGAAAGTAGAACAATTGATGTATTACTGTGTGATTTGAATGTCTGCAATAAATTTTAGAAGTTGCTTTCATGTTTTTTTTTCAACAGAAGAAGAAGTTTCATTATTCCAAAATTTTCTATTCCAGTAATTGTATTTTTTATGTGAAATTGATTGCACTTTTCCGAGAGAATTACACAACATTTTCCAAAGACGCCAAGCCTTCAATGATTGACGCATTTCATTTTCTGTTAGTGTGCGCTTTTCTAACACCTTACTGCAAAACATGTTTCTTGAAATGCCTATTGAATGAATGATAATGTTCATACAAAACAAAATGTGTAGAATACACAGGAGATACTTTCATCCGTTTTTTAAAGTTTTCAAAACAAGTTATTGATAAAATTGAAGTTTTATTTAAATTGAGCTTCTGTTCATGAAAACTCAGCTTGTAGAGCATTTCACTGTTATTCTCTTTTCAATGTATGTTCAGACTTTTGCAGAACAGCAATATTAATATATAACTACAAAAATAGCATTTTTCCTTTTAAAAAAATTCACTATTCCGAGAGAAGTACACAAACTTTGTCAAAAACACCAAGCTCTAGAAGATTGACGTTTTTCTAGTGTGCGCTTTTTGAAAAATAAGATTTCGCAATAAAGTGATTTTTGCTGAAACAGCAAACCTAGTGCCAAGTATTGTTCCTAGAGATCTTTGTAGACATTCGAAGAATATTCATAAATCTTATGTTTTAGGTGAAACATGCTTTGTGAAAAGTGGTTTAGCAATACATTTCAGAAAAAAAGTGTAAATTTTATTTCACTTTAGTTTTAAATTTGTTAATTCATTTTCTCCGATTAAACTTCATTGGCTCAAAGCATTTTTTTCAGATGTGTCGAAACCAATAAATTGATTTAAAAATCTGCACTCCTCCAAAAGAAGTACACGAATTTCTGAAAACGCGCCAAGCGTTACATGGTTGACACGTTTTTGTGTGTGCGTATATTTTGTAGCCTCATATTTCAAAATAACTAGTACTTTTTATTTCGAAACAATCATAATATGATGTTTCATAGTAAAAAACACTCACCTTCATTTGAACATCTCTTCTTCTAACAGTTGGATCAGTTTGTGTAGCATATAACCCACCAAACATAAACATAAAACCAATCAAAACCGCCAAAAAGATATGATAACTTCGATTTCTATGCAAATACAAATAAACTGAATTTGTCACCACTTTTTCATGAATTGTATAAAAAGTGAATAAAATCGCATCAGCCAACAATAAAAATATGAGAATGTGAAGATATGCAGCAAGGAAACTCAGACTCGTCAAAGCTATGAAGCTTGGCTCAGATCCTGGAAAATTTTTAGACATTGGGAGAAGAGTTCTAAAAAAACCGACCTAAAAGTACATAGAAAAACATCATAGCAATATGAGCGAGGAAAATAAATAATGTGAAAAACGCCAGAGCCACATCTTGGAAGCAAATTTTTCGAAGTCTTCGATTTCCAACTTCACTTGGAGTCGGTAGAAGATGTCTGAAAATTGAGAAGACTCTAGATTTGAGATTTTGAAAATGTTCCAGTTCGGAATTGATTTTTCAAGAAAAACATCATAAGTTATGACAAAATTCTATTAATTCCTTGAAAAAAAACTTCCTCTAACTTACCTCAATGAAAAATTAACTCTTCTCCACATATAAACACTTGTAAAAAGCATCGCAGTTGAAAAAATCATCACATTATGCATTCGAATCAATCGATGTTTTGCCATCCCAGTTGCCACCAATCGACTTATCACCATCACACAATGCACCAAAATCACAAAAACAATCAACAATTTCAGTTTTATGTTCATACTTTTCTGCAAAAATATGGTCTACATGCGAATTTTTATCACGAAATTTCATAAAGAAATAAAACTTCATTTTTATTTATATAAGGGTAGCCTAGAGACCACGTAGATAAGGAAAGAAAAAGAACTGACCACAATTTTGAAAATGCTCCTCCTTCTCGACTTTTTTCGCGTCAATCCTGCATCTGTTTGCGCATTTCTATCATCTTCATCTTCCATTATTATGAAATTTCTTATTTATTTTTCTGAAAAAAACTGTTTAAGAGGGAAAAATCTAGGTTTGAAGAAATTGAAATCTAATTAACTGAAAGAAGAGCAAAGGTTTTTTCATTGAGACAAACATCACATTTTTGTTGAAAGAGGAAGGGACAAAACATTTCTCCACAGAGCGCGTTTGTTTGTTTGGCCTTTTTAATGGGCAAATGAAATTTGATACCAATTTGGTTTTGGGATTAGTTGGGAGAATAAATGATACTATAATCTTTGGTTAGACTATTTGGTTAAAGTGTTCTTTGAATTAATAATCAAATAATTATCTACATCCATTATAATGTTAATTGAAAATTCAAATATACATATTCTGGGAAAAATTCAAAGAGAAAAGACCAATTTGACATTTATGTAATATTCACTATTCACAGTTTCCAAGGGATATTCTCTGTTCAATGAGTTTTGGAGAAGATGTTTGAAAAACAAAAACGTATATATTTTTCATATACAAAATACAAAACAAAAGCCTTCGTATCAAAAAAAAACTGAATGATAACTACAAAAAAAAACATATGTCGAAATTGCAAAAAACAAGTTTTGGAGAGAATATTACTAACTAAAAATAGAAAAAAACTGCACTTTGAAAAGTCAAAAAAAAAGAAGAGAAGGGAAACATAATCTATGAGGATTTCGGAATTTTTCTAATTTTCATGGGAATGTTTATGAAAGGTTTTGGAACTATTTTGGACTACGCTCGATATTTTCATAGCACCTCAAAACTTAATCTAAATTGATCAGCTATCTCGGTTCCCGATATTAGTATTTAAACCTAATTGATTCATCCTGCCCAAATAATGTTTTTGTATTTTCAAATTGATAATTTTATTTTGATATTTGTGATGTTCTAATATTCAAACGTAAATACCATGTTTGATCGCTTCAAAGCATTTTTTAATGGAACTAATATACATATATATCGAAGTTTTCGAAACAAAATCCTTTACTCGGTTGCACTATATATTTTAGACGTAAAAAGGTTTCATTCAAAACGACTTGTAATAACTATTGTTTCAGATTCTCAACTTTCGTCACAATCAATATTGCCAATAATTTCTCATGCTCTCATTGTTTTTTGCTCCAAAACGTTGTGTGCAAACAAACGGCTTTTTTGCCCTCAACACAAATGATTTACAGTTTCAGAAAATATTTGCTTTTTTATTTCATTTCATTTTTCCGAAATCACTTTTTATGTAAGCACTTAACTGATTTATGTGTTTTGCTGTTGAGGTGATAAACATTCCAAGATTTATTGATGTTTTTATTTGAAAAAAGTGAAGGGTGTTTGGAATTTCGATTTAAACATCAAATTGTTATTCAAAAATCTTGTAGTTGTCCAGACTTTAGCTGAAAAAAATTCGAAGAATTTTTCAAATGAAAAGTACAATTGAAAGAGACAAACATTTTTTGTAATTCTTTTTTTCCGATGAAAAATAAATCCAATAGATTTTTTTTGCAAAAGTTTAACGAGCTCCTATCTTTTTCTTTTGAACAACAAAAAATGGCTCATAACAATTTATCACTTTCTTAATTATCCTTTTCTTTTGTTTCTCATTTTTTCATGCAATAAGTACTTTATTTTGATTCTGGCCACCAAGTTATTAATTTATATGTTCTAGAAAAATATGTAACAAAGAAAAAATTAATATTTCTTTTGATTTTTTCTTAAATTTCAATGATCTTGAGGTCCAATGTTTTTGTAGTCTAGTCATCTTTCGACCTACAAAAACATTTCTATAAATTTTTTTATTGTTCACATTGTCAGAAAAATATTGTCAGAAAAATTACAAAACTCAAGGACACAATTTTTTCAAGAACAAAATTCTCGACAATAACTTTTTGAAATCTCAAAAAAATTTCGTTAGGTTTCCCTTCTTTTCATGAATACAAAAAAGATTTTTGTAATACAGTAATCCTTTTGCCACTGTGAAACAGTAACAAAATAGATTAGTGTAATACAAAACCAATCTTGTATTCACTTTGAATCTCTTTATTTTTTTTTCATAATCATTACGGGGAGTAATCATCAATTAAAATCAACCCTCCCCTCTTATTCTTTTGCGCGCGCCGACAACTAACAGGCAGCGCGCCTCTCTATTTTTTGCATACAAGTGGGCGGGGCTTGAGTTCGATCTCTTTTGCCGCCCAACTTTTTTTCGTTTTTTTTTTCAAATTATTTTTAATCTGAAATATGTGAAATTTACGGATGAGAATACAAATTGCAGAATTTTTTTTGGTTTTGGCCATCAAGTTTATTAATTAATTTGTTCTAATAGAAAGCATGTTACATGTAACAAAGAAAAAAATTAATATTTTCTTTTCCGTTAAGATTTATTCTCAAGCTCCAAAGATCTCGAGGCCCACTAATTTTTTGTGATAGTCTAGCCATTTTCCGGTCTGCAAAAAAATTTCCATAAAATTTTTTAATATCATGTTATTCTTTTTTGGACATGTTTTTACTAGCCTTCAGAAATTGTATTTCCTTCCCACGTGTTCAAAAAAAAAATCAATTCTTATTCATTTATAAAACTAATTTATTGTTTTTTCTTTTTTATGAAAGAAAATCAAAAATTCTCTGAATCAGAGTCTGAAGCCAGAAAATTAGATTCTATGAAAAAGTTTTTAGGATTTATGTTTTTTTTTGTTTTTCAAGAAAACAATTTTTTTTACATTTTTTCTTCTGTTAGAAGTTTCTGAAATCGAACCGGTTGTTTTAAGAGAAGATGAGAACACTTCAATTTTGATTGTTAGAAAAATGGAAACATCAATTACATTTTTTATGGTTCTTGCGTTGATTTTTCATAGATTGAACTTTAAAAAAAAAAAACAAGAAAAACAGATAGAAGTTTATGATGAACAACTAGGATTTTTGGTTTAATTTTATATCGATATCATGTTTCCGAATGTGATAATTTAGGTGTTTTTCTGCCGGATCCAACAAATGTTCCGAAAAAATCTCATACAAAATTTCAGAGGTAGCAAAAATGATCTACTGACATAAAACCACCGTAATCCAAGAAAAGTTCAAAAAATTTATCACATATTTTTCTGATTTAGAGATTTTTCTTCTGATGTTTGAAATTTCAAAGCAGAGTGAGTGGCCAAGTTGTTTTTATGATAAATTTTGTGATTTTTAGTAGATAATATAGCATCATTTTTAATTTTTGAATGAATCAGGAAATTAAGAAATAGTCTCTAAATGAAGAAGATCGGAAATCACTTTTTTTTCTACTTCTTCATTTTTTTTTTGAAATTTCGAATTATAGAAAGATATTACTTCACGAATGGCAATTTCGGTTTTTATTTACTACGTCATTTTTTCCTGATAATGAACAGTCTTTGAACAAAACAGTTGTCCACCTTATCAAAAATTTTCAACATATTTGAAAAAATTTTCACAATACAAACTCTGTGTTCAAGAGTTACACTAATTATTGATTTTCCTCAATTCCCATTCCATGCCTCAAAACTCAAATATTATCAAATTGTTTACACGTTTTTCATGTTTTCTGATTATTGATCTTCACACTTTTTATTTTTTTTGTTGCAAAAAATATGCTTTTCTATTTTTTTAAACAAAAAAGTTCGCTCGTCACGCGAAATTTTTCGGTCTAATTAACAGATTTCAAACAAAAAATGCCATTTTTCATTTTTCGTTTTGCATCAGTTTTTTTTTAGATAAAAATTGAAGAAAAACACATAAATACTATACAAAATTTTACACATAATATGCATATGGGTGGAGGGTTGCTTTTTTTCTCCATGGTTAAGCCAGATGTCATTTTTGTGTATTTGTGTGTGTGTCTTCTTAGCTTCCGTTTTTTTTTGATGAAAAAGATATTTGCATTTCATTATTGTTAGTTTTTATTATCATCATCATTCTTTTTTCTTTTTTCCTTTTTTTCAAAAAAAGTATACATTATACTCTTTAGGGATTAGATTTTATTTCAAAATACTCATTTATTCTTACTTTATTGTAGCATGGTTTGTAGTTGTACTATTTTTCGCTGAAAAGTTCAGAATTCTATTTGTGTTGCTCTGGATGTAGGTTTACCATAAAACCTCCTAAATTTCCAGAAGTCGAAGGCCCAACCGTCAAAATGAACAAAAATATAACTTCTCCTTGCTCCAACATCGAAAGTCTAAAATATGTTGGGACCCCTGAAGCACAGGGTGGCTTTAATGCCAACATTTTTCCTGTGTCGTATATCTGAACTTCTACCAGTTTTGTTTTTTTTCAGATTATATATTCATTAGGGATTGAACTTTATTTCAGAATTCTCATTCAATATCATTTTTTGTAGGCTGGTTTGTAGTTGTACTATTTTCTGCTGAAAAGTTCAGAATTCTATTTTTGTTTCTTTTTTTAGCTGAAAAACGTCAGAATCTCCGAAATCATCAAAGAATATATTATTTTCCAAATTACCTCTATTCATTTCTTACATGTTAGTCAGATGTTGTCTCTTTTTTTCGTCTCTTTATTCATTCATCCAAAAAAGTTTTCATAAAAATCAACTTTGGTCTGCGAAATAAAAATTACAAAAAATCTCTCTTTCTATCTGACCTCTCCCTAGGGACCATTTTTTGCTGGCCCTTCCAAAAAAATTTATTTGGAGAGTATATCTATAGCATTTCTTGTTGTATTTTTTTTGAATACCGTACTTTTATTTGAAAAGTCATTAGGGCGAAAAACGATGAAAATTTATGTATTTTGAGAATTGTTTTTTAGTTTCGCATTTTTCCTTCAAAAATCTTTTTTTGTTGAATGATTGAGTATACTTCCGCTAAAAAAGACATGCACATTGAAAAAAAGTAAAAAAAAATACTTGAAATATTTTCACAACACTTGCTCTTATCAAAATGCTTTATCAAAAAAAGAAAATAATAAAAAACTATTTTTTGACGCCTATACCAAAAAATTATCTCTATTACATATATGTACAAAATTTCAG